TTTGGAGAAGAAAGGGAACGGCACATGATCCAAGGCACACCACATCCTCTGTAAAACATGGTGGAGGCAACGTGATGGCATGGGCATGCATGGCTTTCAATGGCACTGGGTGACTTGTGTTTATTGATGACATAACAGCAGACAAGAGTAGCCGGATGAATTCTGAAGTGTACCGGGATATACTGTCAGCCCAGATTCAGCCAAATGCTGCAAAGTTGATCGGACGGCGCTTCACAGTACAGATGGATAATGACCCCAAGCATACAGCCAAAGCTACCCAGGAGTTCATGAGAGCAAAAAGGTGGAATATTCTGCAATGGCCAAGTCAATCACCAGATCTTAACCCAATTGAGCATGCATTTCACTTGCTCAAATCCAGACTTCAGACGGAAAGACCCACTAACAAGCAAGACCTGAAGGCTGCGGCTGTAAAGGCCTGGCAAAGCATTAAGAAGGAGGAAACCCAGCGTTTGGTGATGTCCATGGGTTCCAGACTTAAGGCAGTGATTGCCTCCAAAGGATTCACAACAAAATATTGAGAAAAAACTTTTTTGTTTGGGTTATGTTTATATGTCCAATTACTTTTGAGATCCTAAAATGTGGAGTGTTTGTAAACAAATGTGTACAATTCCTACATTTTCTATCACATATTTTTGTTCAACCCTTTAAATTAAACGTTACAATCTGCACTTGAATTCTGTTGTAGAGGTTTCATTTCAAATCCAATGCGGTGGCATGCAGAGCCCAACTCACGAAAATTGTGTTACTGTCCAAATATTTCTGGCCCTAACTGTAGCAACTATTTCAGAATGAAATTCAATGTACTCAAATCTATTTATTAAATCAAATAGCTGACAACTATAAAAACCTCAATCCCAAGGAAGGGATTGAGGATTTTTTTTTATACAAAATTTTATACTTTTAAAATGCCATTTTGTTTTTCTTGCAAAATTAGGCAATGTTAAATCATTTTAAAATCCATTCCACAAATGACGCAACACCCACTTAGCACAATTCAAGTAAAAAGCAATAAAAATAGGAAGGAGGCTGGAAAGCAATAAATAGTAGAGCAAGGTGCATTGGTCCAGTGTGCATAGACTTAAACTGATTGGTATTGTGGCTGTTTTATAGTACATTGTACTATTCCATTAACATATGCATTTTTTCTTACTTGAATTGCATAACACATGTTGTAATATGTGTTAAATTAACTTTAAAATTATTTATTATGGTCTGTCCAGTCTTCTTTTTGAAGCCAAAAAAATGAGTAAAAAGAAATTTAAATGATGTTTGCTTTCCTTGATATATTCAAAAAACAATAAATAAAAAACACATTAGAAAACAACACAAAATTTAGTTTTGTCTTGCACGCCTCAAAATGTGTTTTTCAAACATCAATAATTCCTACTTTGAAATTTAAAGGTTTTCTCACCAATTGTAACCTCAAAATCCAAAGTGACTGCTGAATCTTTTCAATGTGGGGGGAAAAATTACTATTTGGACTTTTGATGTCTCATTGAATCAGCCACGCAAGTAGCAATGCACAAACCATGTTGATGAATGTGTTTGAATTCATAAAATGTGATCAAATAGACTGTTTTCTAAAGCTAATAGTAGCTAGCTATAAAATGGCAAAATTGTTGTATTTGTTGTTTTTCCCTTATTTGTTAAAATTTTGTACATTTTTAAAAATACATCCTTTTATCTCCTATGCTAACTTATACATCTGATATTACATTAAAAAAATTTATTCCGATTCTGCCCTATGTTATCAATTGGAAAACGTATTGCTTTGTTATTTTGTTGTTTTTTCAGGTCTGACTTACAGACATGGACGTTGGGTGGCAACCTTTGACCTCCACGTGTTACAGACTGACAAGCACATCCAGGCTGCAGAACTGAGAGTCCGACTTCCTCCACCACAAAATTCTCCCAACATCTCTTTGGAAGTGTATCACTTGCGTCATGAGCCAGTGGGACTGCTCAATGAATCATCACTGGTCACTTCGTCACACAGCTGGAAGGTGTACAACATGACAAGCCCCCTGTTGGGCTGGCTGAGGCAGAAAGCGGCTGCAAAAAACCGAAGCAAAAGAATATGGAGGCGTATGAAAACCTTAGAGAAGAAGAGTTGTCTCCCTATTCAGCCTGTTTTTGAGATGAGTGGTCAGGCCTTGCTGGTCGTCTTTTCCCACACAGGGTTTGATGAAAGCTCGAGGGCTAAAGCCAGTCTGTTGCGTACAGCTGAGCAATCCAAGTTCTTGTCCCCTGCTGAAATCAAAAGGGTTCCCTGGATGAAGAGGCGTAGGAGCAAACGGGGTCAGAAAGAACAAACAGCGAGAAGCCTGCAGGTGTTCGTGAGAGGGGGCGAAAAATCCCTCTGCCACAGAGTGGACCTGCACGTTGACTTCAATCAAATCGGCTGGGGTTCCTGGATCGTCTTTCCCAAAAGATACAATGCCTACCGATGTGAAGGTTCCTGTCTTGGTCCTTTGGGAGAGGGACTAAAACCAACAAATCATGCTTACATGCAGGTAAGTGGCACCACAAGTTTTTTTTTAATTACTATTATTATTATTTACCACAGTTTGTTTTCTGCATTAAGACTTTTTAAAAAGGTTGGTTTTGTTTGCTGAGCTACACAAATCAATATAAACTTAATCAGTTTACCCAAATCTAATCAATCTATTAGTTGAAGTACAGAGCAAATCTGTCCTTTTGCTGACCTGCTTTCACCAGCTTGTCTATGAAAATGAGATTACAATTAATTACATTGTAGCTTTTGATAGCCACTAGCCCCCTGTAACCTTTCTTGGATAATGGGGTATAATATACAGTGGACGGATTCCAGTAGAGTAGTTTCAATTCTCTTAAATGTTGCATTAAATGTAAACCTGAAAAGATGTGAACATAAAATAACTTCTTTGTAGCTTCGTTTTACAATTTGCCATGTTAAAGCCAAAAATATTTATTGACATTTATTGGGACTTTATGATATAGAACAGTACAGAAATGCTCAAAAATGCAAATGTGACAAACTAGTAAACAGTTTAAAGGTAGAATATTTTTGCTTATTGTGTTTTGGGCTTCTGATCAAGTGCTAGAGAGAAAATCTCTCTTGAGTAAATTGTTTACAAAGATGTCTAAAAAAGAAGTGAAGAAATTCTGGCTATGGAAATCCTCTGCAAAATTTTAACTTGAACTCCCTATGCTGTGTTTTTTTTCTCAGAGTCTCCTGAAACATTACCATCCCGAAAGAGCGGTGCTACCGTGTTGCGCACCAATCAAAATGAGCCCTCTGAGCATGCTGTACTACGAGAACGGAGAGATGCTCCTTCGACACCACGAAGACATGATTGTGGATGAGTGCGGCTGCCAGTGAACGCCACATCCACGGACTCCATTGGTTTGCAGAGTGGCAGGAAGGCACAGACATGTTGTAAAAACACAAAGTGATTCCTGGAAAACAGAAAAAAACACTTAGCTCTTCGATATTTGTGACTGTGCACTGTTAAGACCGCATCTTATCCATCTTTGTGATTATGACCTAAATTTATGATGTGGGTGCCAGTTTTTAAGGAGGAAAATGTTATTTTGGTAAGTACTGAATGCATACTCTAAATGTTTGTTATTACCTCACAGCCTATCAGTAATGTAAATATGAAATTGCATTATTAAATATTTCTGCACTGCTTGTATTGTTATTTGCTTGTATTGTTATTTGCTGTGAATGTATATTTATTGTAAATATTAAAAACTTATTTATGTCGATTTTGTATTTTGAATAGATTTTGTTTCACTTATTAATATTAGACATATCTTTATGGTCTCATGATAAACAATGTTTCTGTGTAATTCAGTTTGATGCTTCTTTCTTTTTTTTCTGCAAGTCAACTTTTCTTTTTATGTACACAAACTTTTATTGTAGAAAGCCTTTAAAACATCACAAACCAAAAAAACAACCCAAGAGGACTAAGCTTAAAAAAAGTAGAGGGGCAGAAAACACACAAATAATGAGTCACCAATAGATATTTGTGGATAATCTGTTCAACTTTCTAATGATATTCAGTGTTTCAGATGCACCTGTACGTCATGCTCATATCAGTGTTTTATTTGGAGCGAATGTGCAAGCCACAGAAAGAGCTGACTCTCCAAACTGGATGTCTCTAGTTTTAGAGAGCTTCAGCCATCCACTGACTCACACTGAGTACATTCCAGCACCCTGAACCATTGTATATTGGTGTGTATGAGAGGAGTATCCAGCAATCCTGTAAAGTAGCTGTAATGACACCAAACTAGAAATCTATTCTTTCACAGCCAGGGGAAGTCATTGTTTTCAAAATCCTTTGAAAAGTAAACAAAGTGGCTGGAAACTTGCTGGTAAACTGGCAGTAGTTGGCCTGGACCCAGAGGTAAGTCAGCGTTTCACTTTTTGATTTCACACAAAATGTGAAGAAAATAATCCAGAGTTTTGCATTTGTGTTTTTTGGGTAATAAGTGTTTCGAAAAATTACATTAAATTGGTAACTTTTAAATTTTAAAGAATAAAAACGACTATGTGGAATAGTTAGATTAAGGACAGCATGGTACCCTAAAACATTAACATGTGGTGGGGAAATGTACAAAACAAGACACACTACTGCTTTGAAATAAACTTTTTTAAAAAATGTGTTTTGTAAATTCCAAATATCTTTTTTGATATTCTCATCTGTGACTGGGGAAGCTTACATCCAGAGTAAAAGTAAAACTAAAAAGTAATGAGTAAAAGTAAAACTTGTCACCTGCATACTAATATTATTGTCATTTAAATTAAATTAATAAAATTTAATAGAAATTCGTAAATACTAAATTGCAGGTTATAAAATACAGGCCAATAATATTCAGCATGTTTTTCAAAACAATTAAAAAATAAAAAAAACTTGACTTTGTGCAGTTGCGTAAAAGTGCAGCGCAATACTGACTCTCATGAACATCCTGGTTACTTAGCTGTTAGCTCTTAGCTTTAGCTAACAACTAAAACAGCTTCCGTTTGTCTGCTTGTATCACCTACTGAGAAAATGACTAACGTTCTAAAATCTTTGTAATAGTCACTTTTTTAAAATAATAAACAGTCCTTTATTCATGCCAACTAACTTCTTCTTCTGAGCTAAAAATATACCTGGCCGTAGCTAATGTTAGCCACCAGTGAGAGCTGACAGTTCTTGTTACACATACTGGCTGGTTGATTGGGTGAGTAGCTTCCTATTTGTATTTTAGCCTTGAAATAATCTCTTTCAATAGGTAGAATGCATATCTATTTTAAAGAGCAGATTTGTGGTTGACCTAAAGTGTTTGGACTATTAAACAAAGAAGAGAACTTAATCTCCAGTGTGGTTAATGTGCTGTATTTTAGACTTAGAGAGACTTAGACTTGACTTTATTGATCCCTTGGGAAGACTCCCTCAGGAAATTATAGTTACCAGCAGCTCACAGGCAAAAATGTGGCACACAGTAAGCATACACAAAAGAATACAAAAAAATACAAATTAAATACAAAACAAAGAATATAAATACAACACAAAAGGAAATTATAGCAATTTGGTGGATAGATTGACCAGTGATATGGTATTGCACTGTATGGTTTGGCCTGATAAATATGGAGTTCACATTTGTAGAAAAAGTACTCTTCTTCCCTCTGTCCTGTGTCACCTCCGACCCCCGTGAGGAGTTGTACAGTCTGAAGGCGTGGGGACAAAGGAGTTCTTGAATCTATTGGTCCGGCACTTGGGAAGCAGCAGTCTGTCACTGAACAGGCTCCTCTGGCTGCTGATGACGGCGTGTAGAGGGTGGCTGCTATCGTCCATGATGTCCAGCAGTTTGTTCAGTGTCCTCGCCTCTGCCACCGTCACCAGAGAGTACAGCTTCATGCCGACCACAGAGCCGGCACGCCTGATCAGTTTGTCCAGTCTGGACGTGTCCTTCTTGGATGTGCTGCCTTCCCAGCACACCACGGTGTAGAAGAGGACACTTGGCGATCACTGACTGGTAGAACATCCACAGCAGTTTGCTGCAGATGTTAAGGACCGCAGTCTCCTCAGGAAGTACATCCTGCTCTGCACCTTCCCGTACAGGTGGCTGGTGTGTTTTGACCAATCCAGTTTACTGTCCAGCCACAGCCCGAGATACTTGTAGGAGCCCACGACCTCAACCTCCGTTCCCTCTAGTACGACTGGTCTCGGCTTTGGTCTGGACCTCCCAAAGTCTATAACCAGCTCCTTTGTCTTAGAGGTGTTGAGTTCCAGGTGGTTTGTGTGGCACCAGAGAGCAAAGTCCCTCACCAGACAGCGATATTCCTCCTCTCCGTCGTCCCTGATACATCCGACTATGGCTGTGTCATCAGCATACTTCTGTATGTGACACAGCTCCGAGTTGTAGTGGAAGTCAGAGGAGTACAGGGTGAAGAGAAGAGGGGCCAGCACTGTGCCCTGAGGGGCTCCTGTGCTGCTGACCACAGTGTCAGACACGGTGTCCTTTAGCCTGACATACTGCGGCCTGTTGGTGAGGTAACTATGGATCCAGGTGACCAGGTGCTGGTCCACTCCCATGCTGTTTAGTTTGTCCTGGAGCAGAAGGGGCTGGATTGTATTAAAGGCACTGGAGAAGTCCAAGAAAAGGATCCTCACTGTGCCACTGCCCTTATCCAGGTGGGAGTGGGCCCGGTGCAGCAGGTAGAGGATGGCATCCTCCACACCAACATCTGCCTGGTAGGCGAATTGCAGGAGGTCCTGAGCATGTTCCACCTGAGGTCTGAGGAGGCCGAGGAAGAGCCGCTCCAACGTCTTCATCAGATGTGAAGTGAGTGCCCCGGGCCGAAAGTCAGTCAGCTCGATGGGCGTGTTCTTCTTGGGCACTGGGACATGCAGGATGTCTTCCAGAGGCTGCACACTTCCCTTAGCTGCAGGCTGAGGTTGAAGATCCGCTGTAGTGGCTCTCCCAGTTCAGCAGCGCAGGTCTTCAGCAGCCTTGGACACACCTGGTCCGGCCCTGCTGCTTTCCTGGGCTTGAGCTTCCTCAGCTGTTCTCTGACCTGGTCTGTGGTGATGTGGGGTGGAGGTTGTGCTGAGGTGTGTGGGGGGGTTGTCAGTGTTTTGTTGTCTGTGGGGAGGTGTGTGGTAAGGAGCAGAGGTGGCTGCAGTGAGAGAGGGGGTTGGGGGGGCACAGACTGGTTGAACCTGTTGAAGAAGTTGTTCAGTTCGTTTTGTGTGTCATAGAGATCTTACAGTCACTGGTTGAAATTTTATGACCACAAGTGCAAAGCAAACACCATGACAACACTGCTCAGGTGACTTTATGGTGTTTGTTGAGTAGTTAATTGTGTATTTGAAAAGAACAAGCAGTGCAGAATCACAGGGATTGTTGCCAAAAAAACTAAAAGCAAAATAACACACAAATCACTTTCAGGATTATTACAAATACAAGTACTTGGTTGCACTGAAATTCTCTGCTGTAAATGAGTTGACTTTACTGCGTGTGATCTCACCTCTTGTGGTCAGATAAATCCGATATAAAAAAAATTGATATAGGTTTCTTCCATTTGAGTACAATGTAATATACTGTACAATATATTTTAGAGAGTACTTTAAGAAGCCTCACAATATTTCTTTAGGTCTGATCATTGTATGCATTTTTATGTTCATCAATAATAACAAAGGTATTGCTTCTGTGTTAAGTTTGAATTGAAAATGGCAGAGGCAGTCGCAAATGTGGCTCGGAGGATTAATGCAACAGTTGAGGAAGGCAAAGACAGCCTGGGTAAGGCAAACCTTATGAATTCTCTGTCTCTTCTTTATTCTTCTCAGCTTTTCAATTTAAAAACATGTTAGGGAGTAACAGATTTGTTCTCGAAGCTATTTCTAGTTTTACCAGTAGATGGAGGCAGAGGCTTGAATTTAGTATTTCTTAGATCGCATTGTGTCTTTACTGTTAGATATGCTGTATTTTTATCTGTTAGTCCTTAATAATTTTATGCTTATGTTCTTCTTCACTGCAGACCTATCAAACTGCCAGCTCATTTCCTTCCCAGATGGTGTGTTCAAGGTCCTCAGGACTGTCTCAGAAAACATCCGCATTGTCACGTTAGCTGATAATAAAATGAAGGCCATTTCAAGCAAATTCTTTTCAACTTTTACCCAGCTCAGAGGTAGAGACAAACAAGCATCACCCTGCTCTTTTAGTCATTCATACAGTATCAAAGATGAGGCTGTTGTTTTCACGCTGTTTGCACCACAAATGTCCACTACAGGTTTTTACACTTTGACAGAAATACAGACATCTCTCCATTTATTTGTATTTTCAAATGCCTTGTAGAACTTGACCTGCAGGGCAACATTTTCACCAAGCTGCCAGATGAGGTTGGAGAAATGGAACATTTGACCAGCATCAATTTAGCTAATAACAGCTTTTCCATCTTCCCTGAGAAGCTCACTGAAATAGCCACACTGGAGAGGATTGACCTTGAAGGAAACAGCATCACTGGTAATAACATGTTTAAGGATGTTGTGTGGAATAATTGACTGTTCTTTTACAGTATTGTTCATTTTAAACCTATTTTTTGTTTTCTCAAATTTTCCCCAACAGAATTACCTTTGGAAAAGTTGTCTACCATGCCAGCTCTCAAGTGGCTCAACATAAAGTCCAATCCTTTGAGCTCCAGCATTCAGTCTGCTCTCCAATCTCCTTACAATTTTGAGATTTTATTAACAACAGAATAATGGAATATGTCACATATATCCTTACAGACTGTTTGGTTTGTGCCTTTAACTAAAAGAAAATGGATGCATTTGAGAACCTTAAAGTGGCAGTATTATGGAAAATCTACTTTTTTGAGTTGTACATTATGTAATACCCTCATCAAAAACATGCATGTTAAAGAAATTGTTTTTATCTCCCATGGCAGCCATTATGGGTGTAGAAACATTTGGTCTCACTAAGCTTCCTTTTTCATGGATCTCCTCCTCAGAGCAGTGGTTTCCAAGTCGGGCTTCCGCCTCACAGAGCGCCGCCACTCAGCTCCTCCAGACTAGCGGCAGCAGAAATTAGCAAACCCTTGTTGGAACTGTTCATCTGCTAAGCTTATCATACAAGCTACCTCTCAGTGAAATACTGGTGAAAGCAATGTTGTGATGGCAGAATGTTGGAAAGAGAAGGAGCTTCTTAAAGAGACAGAGACCAATTTCAAGATGTTAAATTGCAAAGTCAAATTTCTAAGTCATTTTTTATTAAAACAACTGATGGCGACATAATTATTTGATTGTGCTATCAATTAGCACTGTGTCTCTGAAAAATAGATAATACTGCCCCTTTAAAAAGGTTTCAAGACAGAATTTTGTTTCAAAAGAAAAAGACACACATCTATACAGATGAGTTTTTGACTCTGCAACCTCAACTTTTGGAGAGTGTAGCGTCTGATCATACAGGAGGACTTTTTTGGAACTGTTTGATGGACTCAAATGCATTAGCAGATACACTGCCACCAAGACCTGCCTATATCTGGAACATATGTGATAATGTTTACTTTGGGGAGTATGAGTTGGCCAGATCTCTATAAAAGGGGTGCTGTCCAGTGATTGGACCAGTCGCTGGAAAATGATTATGCTTCCTCGTGATTCGATAGTGCTGAGTTAGGCTGCAGTTTGTAATAAAACTTTACTGTTAACCAAAGTCCAGCCTGCAGAGTCTTATTCCTGAAGCATCACCACGCCAGCATCTTGAAGATACTGACAGAATACACCACAATCTCTGTCTTGATACGGAGGTGAACTCTTAGACTTGTGAAAACCTACTTTTTGCTTATTTATTACATTTTTAATGTAAAAATAAAACTATGAAATGAAGCCACAGTAACAGAAGTTACGAGATTTTACTTATTACAATTTAGAGGTTTGGGATGTAATTTTCTTTAATTTCTCTAATTCTCCAGTGAGTAGCTCCTTAATGATGTGTTGCAAATTATTAAGCAGCTTTTTACTACCATCAATGTAAAAATTTAGACACAGGCTAGATGTTAATATCAAATAATGCAACTGCATTGATGTCTGTTAAACATGCTAAGTCTAAATGCACTTCGTCGTTGTTCAGTATTTATTTTTGTAATTTACAAAAGGAACATCCCATAATAAAGCACTGACAGCAACAATTTCATAAACTGTATTGCAAAATGTATGTCGACGAAAAGGTACATCTCCGTATTAATAGAATTTCACCACATGAATCACAATTTACTTGTAGAGCAGAGAAGTAGAATAGTTTCCATATTTCTATGTGTGTGTAATGTTTTCATATGTAATAAATTTGATACATTTTAAGCAGAAAAACCTTTTGCCTAAGTGACTTACCTGGAAAAAATAACTCCTAGTAATTAAACAGGGCTTATTTTAAGAAAGATTTGCTTTGTCCCCCATGAAGGTGTTTCACTAAAATTAAAAAGGTAAGAAGTCGCCGTGGAAACAGTACCTATTCCTGTCTTGTTAATCGGTTTATGGCTTACGCCGGTTGGCTCCATCTGTGTCTTTCTATAAATAGTTATTAAGAGTCACAGCTTGAAAGAATGAAATGCATGGCAAACAGATTTCTGGCAAAGAAAGTTGAATCTTTGCTGTAATGTCTCAGAATGCACACGTCAGTCGGAGAGGAGGATTAACTTCAGATTATTATTCACAACTCTGACTCTTGCAGTTAGACGGGTGCTGCACAATGAGAGGTTTAAAAGCACGACCATACAAAGAATTGAGTTTATTGTAGCTTTGATATTTGGCTTTTGAACCTTTCATACGAGAACCCTCGTGCAGGTAGCTGTGGGTGTTACTAATCATTGCGCATGTCCACTCTCCTGCCTCTGTGAGTCTGAAGCTGCTTAATCTTGCTGAACAAGTGGACAGAACACAGAGGGAGAGATTTACACCAACATGAGCTTTACCATCGAAGAGAGGGGGAGGCCGAACACCCAGGACTACAGAGTCTTTTTCAGTAAGCTTAGTTTTTGTGGTTTAATCGATTTCAACCTATAGATTAAACCAAACCTGTTTTTAACTTGAGCTTTAGCTGTGGAAAGATCCCTTTGTGTTTTGTTTCTCCCAGATATAAGAGCTACATTTTTATTGCTCATTTTATAGAAAACGCAGAGGGCAAATACATCTCTCCCTTTCATGATGTCCCCATCTATGCAAATGAAGCAGATGTGAGTATTGTGTTGGTTTAAAACCACCAAGTACTTTACTAACTTAAAAGGTGCATAGTTACTGTCATATAAACTTAAATTGTATTAATAACGCAAGTTTTTTTTAGGGAAAAGAGGGTTTAATAACATGTAAAACATTTCCTTGAACCAAAAACTGCCTATATATGCAGTTTATTTCACTTTCCAAGGGATACGTTTTCTCAAATAAACCCCAGTGGGACTTCATATATTTTAGATGCACATTATTTTAGGAAATGTTATGTAGGCTTAAAATTATAATTGTCCCAGTTAAAATTAGATATTTCATCTAGTTAAAATTGTTCTCACATTCCTTTACAGAACATTTTTCATGCCATTGTGGAAGTTCCAAGATGGACAAATGCAAAGATGGAGGTATCTATTGCTTTTTTTTTTTGTATAATTTTTCCACTTTAGTTAACTTATTTATGTGTTCCCAGTTAACTACTATCCCAGGTCTGTCCAATTCAGTTAAAATGAATCCAATTTAACTGTGCAATTGAGTTGAACAATTGCATATAGTTCAGCTCAATCCAAATCAGAAATACTATATGCAGTCTCTAATGCCAGTGAGAGAGAACATGAAGGAAACAGAAAATAAAATAGTACAGGCCCAGACTGGCTCATGACTTCATCTCGGAAAGAGACTATACTAAATATAAACTCTCTAATCCAGGAGATTTATCTTTCTTTATGAGAAAAATAAATTATAAAAGCATGCAAGTGATTAGCACCAAGCAAGAAAGACACACAATTGAACAAAGAATCACTAGGCAAGAAATGCCTTCCATGGGAAAGAAAAATTACATTACACAGATTTAATGGCAGGAATAGATCTCTAAATACCCGAATTCAGGTAAGAGCTATAGCTAAATACAGAAGCATTGAACCATGGGAAAAGAAAAACTGCATGCACAGAGTCAATGGCAATCCAATCTCCATTCAGGCCAGACATATCTTCCATAGAGAGAATGAACAAAAAGAAAAGTCATTCTTTATTTTTACTGGGACAATTACTTAATTTTTTAAAATTACATTTACTCTGTTTTTTTGCGCTTTATGCTTATATTTTTCAGATAGCCACAAAGGATCCTCTTAATCCACTAAAGCAGGATATGAAGAAGGGGAATCTTCGTTATGTAGCCAATGTGTTTCCCCACAAAGGCTATATCTGGAATTATGGGGCCATTCCACAGGCAAGTCTTTGTCTACCTTCATGTATTTAAACAACAAAAAATCTGCTTCAATTTCCCACATCTTTTTATCAGACATGGGAGGATCCCGGTCACAAGGACAGTGACACAGGATGCTGTGGAGACAACGATCCGATTGACATCTGTGACATTGGAAACAAGGTAGTGAAAGTTGCTGAAGAGGCTCATAAAGATCCAATAGTTAGCAGCCTTTCTTAGAAATGTGACTGGTACTTTCAGGTGTGCTCTCGGGGAGAAGTAATCAAAGTGAAGGTGTTGGGAACCCTGGCTTTGATCGATGAGGGTGAAACCGACTGGAAGGTCATTGTGATCAATACTGAGGACCCAGAAGCCAGCGACTTTAACAGTAGGAGCAACCTGCTTTAGATGTTTACTGTAATATACTACATATAGCATGTTTATGCTTTTTTTTTGATGGGTTGCAGATATTGATGACGTAAAGCGGCTTAAGCCAGGTTACCTGGAAGCCACTGTTGATTGGTTCAGACGATACAAGGTTCCTGATGGCAAACCTGAAAATCAGTTTGCTTTCAATGGCGACTTCAAAGACAGGGTATGCAGCTTAGCTTTTGTGTCTCACTCTGTTGAAGGTAGTAGACAAGAAATATGGAATTCTATGTTATGATATTTTTTTTTTTTGGCTGTCAATTTCTTTTAAGGTTTATAGAAGTATCTTGTTTTTTAGGACTTTGCGATACAAACTGTGAAGAGTACACATGAATTTTGGAAAGCACTGATACGTAAGAAGAGCAACGCTGGCGAGTTAAACTGGTAAATGCTTGTACTGTCATTTCATTTGTGTTCCTCAATGCAAACAGTAAAAAATTTATTTTCTGTTATTACATATACTGATACTGATTTGATTTAGTACTTTTAACAGGGAACATGACCTCAGGGGTACAATTTATATTCAAACATTTTCCTGTAAGGACTTGTTGAGAAATTCAGTCTCAGAAATGTGAGCCTATGGGAAGATTTCAGCAACAAAATGAAATAAAATCAAACATTATAATGGTTGGGTTTTTTTTTAAAAATACTTCCTTCCTTATATCCAAATCTGCATGAGATTTGCATGAAAATACAAAAGATTTAAAGATAAAAGAGTCTGAGCTTTTATCTGATATGATTTAGTAATTTGAATAGGTGTAGTAATTTATTCTACACTTATTTTCTTTTTACATTGTGAGAAGTACAGAATGAGTTGTTAGAACATTTGCATTTTATTTATTTACCTAGATTTTGAGACTGCATAGATAGTTTTTGTGTTGTTTTTATTCATCACTATCCTCGTTTATTCCTGTCTGAAATGAATAAATTAAAGAGATCATCTTTTATAATGCATTATTAAAACTAAGGCAGAGAGATACATGTGTAAAATGCTGCAATCATAAATTAGTGTGAAAAATTCTTTCCTCTGTGTTTTTACAGCATGAACACCAGTGTTTCTGACAGTCCCTTCTGCTGCTCTGCTGCAGATGCTGAAGCTGTTGTTAAGTCTGTAAGTTCATCTAACTTTCCAATATCCCAGCTTAGAGAGTTATTACAGTTCTTTCCTTAAGCCTAGCAAAGATGACATAATGGCAGTGCATAGGTTGGAGTGCAAAATCAGAAGCTTATTATAAGTTGGCAAAGAAAAAAAAATATGACTGAAGAAGCTTTCCTTTCATTGCTTTTGGAGTAGAAGAGTACCTCTTTTTTCAAATTTAGCAATTATAATCATTTCCAAACTTTTATGAAATTAAAAAAATCTATTCCCATCTTTGTATAATTGGGATGAAACATTTGCAGTTCCTTTAAAGGTATCCAAGAAACATAGATGTTTTCAGGTTCTTGGAAATGTCCTGGTAGTTGTCAGTGCCGCAGAGGGTGCTCTGGTCAGATAAAACTAGACAAACACTAAGCATTAAGGTCTATATCCAAAGTACTATGTCACGTGAAAAACTAATGACCCACAGCACCACAAACACCCCAATGCCAACATTAACACATTGTGGTGGCTGCATCATGGTGTGGGAATGTTCTTTTCATTCACTTAGAAGCTTGTGAGAGTTGATGTGAAGATGGATGGAGCTAAATATAATTTAAATTGATGGAGGTGTGTAGTATAGGTTTCAATTGGAGAAAAACATGGAAAAGTTTGAGATTTTTCAAGTATGCTTTTGCAAGAAAATTTTATGCTAAAAAAATTTCAGTTGAAAATTCAAATTCTTTAAAAATACCTTTCACAGGCATGTGCTTTTGGAACTGAGGAACCCATTCCAAACTCAGGTAGATGTTTCTTTTTTTTTTTTTTTTGGTGCAACAAAACTGTGTTATTGCCAATTTAAAATTCTCAGAGATTGTACTAATTGTGATTTTGTTTTTTTTCTTTTTCAGTTGATAAATGGTTCTACTATGAAAAGTAAGAATGTCAACCCACGCCAGGAACTTGAAGAGAATCCCTCTTCCTCCATAAATCCATTATCAAGTTTGGAACATTAAATCTGAACTAACTTTGAACCTCTTTGTTCCACCATGTTTTGTGAATGTTATTCCCAGCTGAGTAAAATTATATTCTTGTGAAAACACCCTCATACTTCTTTCATTCTTTTATGAACAACAGTCCTTGAAACAGTCATGACAAATTCCCTAATAAACAACAGTGTCTCTTTGTATATGTATTTATTTACATACCATGCTTATTTTTTAAGGTTATTGCAGTCTTGATATGTTCTAATGCCCTGAACATGGATCTAATGTCATAATTTTATAATGGAATTATAATTTTAATTCCATTATAATTCTATAATGGAATTATAAAATAATGTAAATATAGGAAAAGATGTACATCTATTCATTCAAAGGCTTTATCCAAACCTTTTTTTGCCAGTTTATAATCTTTGAACTTCTTATAAATTGTTGCTGTTCCATTTCTATTAGATATGAAGGTTATAGGATGTGGCTGTAAAAGAGAAGACCCTGTGGAATGTGTTTACAGAACGTTGTGGAGTAGTGAAAGCACAGTTAGGTTGTAAAACAATTTCCCCAATGTTTAACCATATTAAAAGGAAATATTCAATCCATTACTATTCAGTAATTCCAAACCTGTCAAGACTCTGCCGATGGGATAAACCAATAAATTTTTTATGAGCCAAAAGTAAACTGTCTGATCGAGGTACAAGACTTTCAACAGATAACTAACTGCCCGCCACAATGAACACCTGATTTCTTCAATGAAACATGGCAGTGAAAGCATCATGGTGTGGGGATTCTTTTCTTCAGTAGAGAGTATAAGAAACATCATGAGAGTTAATGGGAAGATGGTTGTAAATGCTGGGTCATTTGGAAAAAAGCCTTTTATAAGTCATGTATCCCTTTCCTTTCACTTCACAATTTTCTGCCAACTAAACTTCCCCCCAAAAAAATTCTTATGGTTTATGATTGTAACATACAGTTAGGGCCAGAAATATTTGGACAGTGACACAGGTTTTGTGATTTTAGCTGTTGACAAAAATATGTTCAGAAATACAATTTATATATAATATGGGCTGAAAGTGCACACTCCCAGCTGCAATATGAGAGTTTCCACATCCAAATCGGAGAAAGGGTTTAGGAATCATAGCTCTGTAATGCAGAGCCTCCTCTTTTTCAAGGGACCAAAAGTAATTGGACAATGGACTCAAAGGCTGCAAGTAACTCAAAAGGCCTTTCCCTCGTTAACCTGTAATCAAGTAAGTAGTTAAAAGGTCTGGGGTTGTTTCCAGGTGTGTGGTTTTGCATTTGGAAGCTGTTGCTGTGACCAGACAACATGCGGTCAAAGGAGCTCTCAATTGAGTGAAGCAGAACATCCTGAGGCTGAAAAAAAGGAAAAAATCCATCAGAGAGATAGCAGACATGCTTGGAGTAGCAAAATCAACAGTCTGGTACATTCTGAGGAAAAAGGAATTGACTGGTGAGCTTGGGAACTCAAAAAGGCCTGGGTGTCCACGGAAGACAACAGTGGTGGATGATCGCCGCATACTTTCTTTGGTGAAGAAGAACCCGTTCACAACATCAACTGAGGTCCAGAACACTCTCAGAGAAGTAGGTGTATCTGTCTCTAAGTCAACAGTAAAGAGAAGACTCCATGAAAGCAATACAAAGGGTTCACATGTAGATGCAAACCATTCATCAATTCCAAAAATAGACAGGCCAGAGTTAAATTGCCCAAAAACACCTCAAGAAGCCAGCCAGTTCTGGAAAAGTATTCTATGGACAGATGAGACAAAGATCAACCTGTACCAGAATGATGGGAAGAAAAAAGTTTGGAGAAGAAAGGGAACGGCACATGATCCAAGGCACACCACATCCTCTGTAAAGCATGGTGGAGGGAACGTGATGGCATGGGCATGCGCGGCTTTCAATGGCACTGGGACTTGTGTTTAGTGATGAGATAACAGCAGACAAGAGTAGCCGGATGAATTCTGAAGTGTACCGGGATATACTGTCAGCCCAGATTCAGCCAAATGCTGCAAAGTTGATCGGACGGCGCTTCACAGTACAGATGGATAATGACCCCAAGCATACAGCCAAAGCTACCCAGGAGTTCATGAGAGCAAAAAGGTGGAATATTCTGCAATGGCCAAGTCAATCACCAGATCTTAACCCAATTGAGCATGCATTTCACTTGCTCAAATCCAGACTTCAGACGGAAAGACCCACTAACAAGCAAGACCTGAAGGCTGCGGCTGTAAAGGCCTGGCAAAGCATTAAGAAGGAGGAAACCCAGCGTTTGGTGATGTCCATGGGTTCCAGACTTAAGGCAGTGATTGCCTCCAAAGGATTCACAACAAAATATTGAGAAAAAACTTTTTTGTTTGGGTTATGTTTATATGTCCAATTACTTTTGAGCTCCTAAAATGTGGAGTGTTTGTAAACAAATGTGTACAATTCCTACATTTTCTATCACATATTTTTGTTCAACCCTTTAAATTAAACGTTACAATCTCCACTTAAATTCTGTTGTAGAGGTTTCATTTCAAATCCAATGTGGTGGCATGCAGAGCCCAACTCACAAATATTGTGTTACTGTCCAAATATTTCTGGCCCTAACTGTAAGTCACATATTACCATCCATACTGTAACAAACCATATGTTTTTGATTTTTGTTTTTTACTCAAAAATTCAAAGGGTATGATTATTTCGCAAAGCCACTGTAGCTAATATGACTTGACTGCTTAACAGAACAACAGATGTCATCACAGTAATGTGTTTGTTTTACTAGTGTGTACAAAATATTGTATGTATATTATTACACAACACAACTTAAATTATTTACTTGTAAAATTTGCCCAATAACTCAAAAACCATTTCTACTTTAGGAGAAGTAAAATATTTATTTACTTTCCATGTAGAACTATTGTAAAAAATGAACTCTTTGAGCTTGTTTTTCCCCCATAGAACTAAAGGGGGCGCTGTGACAAAGGTAACGGGAAACCCTGTTGCCGTTCTTAAAACACGAATGAGAAAAGGAGCCTCTCTGATTGACTGTTTCCAAGGAGACCGCTGACACTGCCGAGAACTGGGATAAGGCTCGGTACTCTAGGAAGGTACGTTTATTTTATTTATGTAGTTTAGTGTGATGAGTCATGCTAATGCTAACAATTAGTTCGCTCATAATATCTTATTTGTCAATGTGTCGTCACGTACATAAAAGGCTTTATACTGGCTACCATGTTAATGCTAACCTACATAAATTCAGCCCTTCAAGTACCATATCACAAACAGAACATGTACAGACCTATTCGTAGTAGTTCATGAATTTCGTTTGATATTTGATCAAGTTGGAGATTAGTTGCTGTTGGCCTCCCACTACACGTGCATGTGGACATGCCTTCAGATAAACACCTCTGTGTTATTTTATTGTATGCACCAATTTGATAAAGCTCTTAATATCTATACAGGCCACAAGACATATTCTGTGATCAACGTCATGCATTTTGATCCAAAAACGTATGACTTGCCAATAAGGTGTTCTCATTCATACAGACACCATCAGAATGTCGTTTTTGTTTGACTGGATCTACAGAGGGATTAGCAGTGTTTTACAGCTTTTAGGTGAGTACCTTCCCTTTTTATCCAACTTCTGAGAACACAGCAACTGAATTACAGAGAAATAAGCCATTCATCACCCAATCAGTGATGATTGGATGATTTTGTGATGGTGGTTTTTGCAGTAAAGGTATGAGAGTAAACTGGACTGAACACAAATCTGCACCACACTGTGTTCTTCAAATTTAAAACCATAATTTTTCTTCCATTTTTATGTCTATCACATCAAATCCTAATAAATCCAGTTTGTGGGCTAAAGAGGACAAATTATGATACTGGATGCTCATATTTGTTCAAAGCTTGTTGCTCAAATTGTAACATAGATGGTATTAGGCCCAAATATCTTTACAATTGTTATGCATCATCGATTTGTGAGCACAACACAAACTGCAGTAATATATGTTCCTTTTAAGAAGCATAAAGTTAATAACAAATCTTTCTTTTGTGGCCCCATTTTAGGTTTGTACAGAAAGACAGGGAAGCTTGTATTCTTAGGTCTAGATAATGCTGGTAAAACAACACTGCTGCACATGTTGAAAGATGACAGACTTGGACAGCACGTACCAACACTTCATCCAAGTAAGGACATGGTTTGAGGGCAGTGTGCCATATAAGGCTGACCTGATGCTTCTTTTTTTCCTATTTTCATAGTTTAGTCTTTTCTGCTATAATTTATTAATATTGGAAAATTATTAAACACACATAAGTGTTCCTTTTTGAAATATATATTGTGGTCACTGTCAAGAGGAAGGATCATCGTATCACTGAATTATATCCCGGGATTTTTATGAATAGGTTATCGAAATAGAAGCAATTTGAATAGTTAGTTGACATATTTCATTGCTGTTTTGAAATCTAATAATGGCAATTTCTCTACTTTGCATATTTTGCCAAATAGGACAAACTAAATCTTTGCTTAGAACAAACACCTTATTATTTTGTAATCAAACAACTTATAACTTTACTGTGGCTGTAGGAGTTTTTTCTTCAGGGTCTCTGTTGCTATGTGAGTCATGGTCTTTTATTTCCTATTTAATGTTTTATTGTCTTCAAACAGCCTCAGAGGAGCTGACAATTGGTGGGATGACATTTACGACATTTGATTTGGGAGGACACGTACAAGGTGAGCTCTAAGCCAAAACTCTTATTTTTCTGTTCTGCAGTCAAAACATTATAGACCAGTATTGTGATTTCTATCTCCCAAAGACGTATGGATGTTCATCGTCATTATTTTTAGACGATGAACAGCGTCAAAGTGCATTACTGAAGGAAAAACAAGTTTACCGGCTCATCAGTGGAAATGTAGCTCTCTGGTCTTCCCAGGTATAGAAAGCTACTCACTTAGTGCTTTCACTACACATACCGAGGCAATATTTTTTATGTTCAAAAAGGTTTCTTAAAAGGCTTGACAGTTTCTGTAGTACTTATTGCCACCACTTGGTGTCTCTGCATGCCCTAAAATCCCCTATTTTTATTTAGGAGCATCTCCAACATAGAGTGCTTATGTTTGTGCCTTGATTAGACCTTTACAATAAACAGCAAACATTTTTTGTATTTTCCTTTTCAGAAAAAAAACTATTAGTAATTTTAAATCCCAGCAAGAATCCAATCATTTTAGTCAAATCAAGTTGAATTGGATAGCACATTTCAGCGACAAGGCAGATCATAAAACATCAGACAGTGAGGCATAATTATGGTTAACGGCTATGTGTGGATGTAAGACTATGGCGGCTCCTTCATGATGTTGTGGGGCTACTTTTCTTCAAGCAGGTTAGAGCTGATGTTAAGATGGTTGGAGTTTAGTATAGGACAATCGTGAAAGAAAATATTTTAGATGTTGCAGAAGGCAAGACTGGGCAGGATATCCACCTTCCAGTAGGACAACAACTCTAAATATACAGCCAGTGCTGCAAAGGAAGGGTTTAAATGAAAATATATTTTTCTTTTGGACTGGCTAAAAGAGCTCTTTATTTTGATGAATACTTTTCAGATCGCAGACTTTAGAGTGGCAGTCATGAGAGCGCCACTCTGAAGGCTAAGGATTATTTTTCAGAAGTGTTAAAAGATTAACTCTCTTTGTGACAGATAGATAATTTGACTTGCGTTTAATTGCTGCAACAAGAGTCAAATTAAAAATAATTTCTTCTTCATTTGCAGCTCGCAGAGTTTGGAAGAACTACCTGCCAGCTGTGAATGGCATTGTCTTTCTTGTTGACGCCGCTGATCATGAAAGACTTGCAGAATCAAAGACTGAGCTTGATGTAAGTTCAAACATGGCTGCTCCAGGATGTTTCTGTCAATTTCAATTAAAACTAGTAACCACACTGCTGATGTCGTGGCACTCTAGGCTCTCCTTTCAGATGAAACCATAGCCAGCGTCCCAGTGTTGGTGTTGGGAAATAAAATTGACCGTCCGGAGGCCATCAGTGAAGGAGCACTGAGAGGAGCTTTTTGTCTTGATGGTCAGGTCACAGGAAAGGTAGGCTACGCTAGGAGTCTCATCATCCACCCTTTGAATCATCACACCCATTTATCCTAATTCTTATCAACAGGGAAACATTTCTGTGAAAGATCAGAACGTTCGCCCGCTGGAGATTTTCATGTGCAGCGTTTTGAAGAAACAAGGCTACGGGGAAGGCTTTAGATGGTTGTCGCAATACATCGACTGACACAAAGGAAAAATCAGAGAGGATCTAACTGACACATTCACATGAAGCTTGATGAGGACTATCAAGAAGCAACAATTGTCATCACATTTTAATCAGATTTTCACATTTTAAAACATTAACTTTCATCATTTAAATTTCTCTATGCAAACAAATAACTGGTTTATTAATGTGAGAACGTTGCACAGCATGTTTAGTACCTAATTATATTATATGAAGAGCCAGATAAGCTGCAGGAGTGTAGATTTGTGTTCTGCTGTCCTGAATTATTTATTGTTTAAAACATCAGCTGTTTGATTTTATATTTATTAATAGGTGTATGATGAAGCATAAAGTCTCGCTTATATCGCGCTGAGTGGCTTAAAGCCCGTCTGATTTCTAACAGAGATGGCAGGGATTTAGATTAGATTTTTGGAACCGTTCCATGAACAAATAAAGAAATGGAGAGGATTAATTTTAATCTGAATTAATCTGATGATACGCAATCTCTACCTCCAAAGCACAAAGCCAAATATGTATGGCAATTTCCTGGGGACGAGGCAATAGTCCCCAGGAAAATATCATCTTTGCTGAGCACTAAACCAGAATGACACCAAATCCCCTTAACAAGCCAAAAAGGAAGGTACATCTGATAGATTCAAGTTAAACATCTCATTATGGCAGACGTTTGAATTTCTTCTGCCATTTATTAAGGTTTTATTTATCCAATATGTTGCTCAGAGACAAAAGAATAAGTACAATATCTATCCTAAGAATATCAGTTGCAGAAGTCTTTAAATAGGTTTTAAAAGTTCCCACAGAAATTAGCCAGAATAGCTTCCTATATAAAAAGGATATTTTCTCCTTAGTGTTAATAAGGACGAACACAGCAGGTTATAAACTGTTGCAAAATGCTGCTGTAGAACGATGCATTCTGTTCAATAAATGTGATAGAAATGTAAATCGCAGCAATGGCAAAAATCTAAAGAGCAAAGCTAAAAGAAAGCATCTGCATTTATTAAATGTTGCCTGACCAAATTGTCATTCATTTAGTGATTCGAAGACAAAACCCAGCATTCTGACTACAGCACAATGGCAGTAATGATGGCTTTCTATTTACATGTGCAAAAGCAATAAAGCAAAGAAAAAAAAGCCAGATGCATTAAAACATGTTTACTGAATGCTCACTATGAGCCCTATCACCCAGACAAGTGTGTAGGAAGGTAGACTTGACTACATTCAGAAAACTGGACTTATGTTTATCTCTTATAGTGAAAGGTAACTTTTAAGCACAATCACTCAAACCAGTATTAGTGTCATGGGTAATGAGCACAGTACCATTAATGTGTAGCTTGCAATTAATGTCTTGAAGAAATTATTTATTTATATACTGAAAATGAATGAATGATGGCAGTAATAATGGCTTCCTCTAAAAATGTAAGTAATAAAGAAAAATAGCCAGCGGTAACGTAGCATCCAGATGAGTTTTTACATCCTCTGGATGTGAAAATCAAAGACTGTAATTAGTTCTCCGCCTGTTCGTCTTTTCAATTTGTTAGTATTAAGTGCAGCATTAAATGCAGCCTCCCCATTCTGCCACTTCCTGTTAGTTATGGTCTTTCTTTAATTAAGCTCTGATTTAAGTCCAATTTAAAGTGGCGAAAATTTAAACAAGAGCTGAAAATTAATGGTTGGTAATATCTTGATGTCTAATTAGTATTTAGCTTTAAGTGCTTCTAATGTACTTTTTGATTATCTGAAAAGATATGAGAGTGCACTTTAGGAGATGAATAAAAATGTCTTTTGTGGTCCGTTTTGAAAGTATCATTTTGTATGTTTTCCATTGATAGGAAGGTTTCAGTTTTTGTCTTTAATATACAGAATATTATTATACTGTATGTTACAAATACAGTATAATATTTGAATATAACATATTTCTGCATCTTTTATTAACAAGGTAAACTTTTTAAAAATTTGGTAAAATCATGATGCAAATAAGAAATTAATCATTTATTCATATTTTCTACAGGTTACAAGTGTTAAAACATGTTTGCTTCCATCTTTTTTTCATTTCAAAAGCTTACTCTACCAGTTGCTCAACTTCCATAAATTATGTAAAATACAGATATGAATTCTTGTACAGTTGCCATCTTTGAGCAGGCACTACAAAGGACGAATGTTGTTTGTATTATAATAAATATTTTTGGGAGAAAAAACATTATGTTCAGTGAATTTAAACAGAAGTTGAATCCAGCAGAATAAGATAGAAGTCTAGTTCATGTAAGTAATTGAAATAATAATAAAATCTGATTTTTATATCCAAAGAGTTTGTGATTTTATGTTCTGTGTTATTGAAAGTTACTGAGGTTATGATATATTTTGTTGCTTTCATTACAAAGTTCTTCCTCCACTGTTTGCTTCTCCGTCTTAAACAGTGATAAAAGACTTGACACCACAACACAGCTTGGCCCCAGTGCCTTTATTTGTAAAGTGCTCAGCATAGAAGTACATTCTTACTAACATGCAATACTAAAAACAAACATCTGCCCTGTTGATAGCATGAACAAAGACATGGCAACAATATCCTCATAGAAAACAAAACCAGTGTGAATTCAAGTATACACACAGAACTTCAAGTAATGCACTTTTTTTTTTCTCTTTACAAACACAAAATCCAGTATTTCAAGTCGCAAACCCAGAAAAATAGCAGTTGTGGCACATTCTTCAACATGGTGTCAGAGTTAGCAAAGGACAGCAACGTCTATTGTGTTTGCAGTTTGATTCCCCAAACTGGAAATGTACAGTAGGCCATGTAAAGCTGTGTGCATCCATTTTAATTCAGAAAACATACACTTAAGACTTTGTTGGTTTGTGGTGCATCTCAGTCACTTTTGGCAGCTTCAAGTCAAAGCAACCTGAAATCCTCTAAACTTGTGCACTGGATTATATACATGTTGATTTTTAAAGTACGTAACAACTGAATATCTTTAAAGAAACAGTTTGACAATTTAGTAAATATGATTATTTGCTCAATAATCAGGGATTAAAAAAACACTGATTACTTTTTGTAATTGTAGATGTAAACATTTTTATTTGTCTTTTTTAGATATTTTGACATTTATAGCCAATGTTTTGGGAATTATATGGAACCTACTGGGTTCTGAGACTGTAGTTTTGTTTCCTTGTGTATTATCAGATGCAGACTGTGTGCCGTTTTTACAAAGTGCCACATTTTTAAGATCCACACACAAAATGACAACTTTTCCAACGGGAAATAACTTCTGGCATCCAGCAATTCAATAGCAGAGAGGCACAGCCACAGCTTTTCTGAGCCGAGTGATCCTGCAAACACTGGTGGGATTTCAGGGACTGCCGGATGAATCAGTGTTCTGGTTGCTAATCTTGAATACCCAAAATCACGGAACACACTTGCGAGGAAAAATACCTTAAAAAATTGTGTTAAAATGCTGATTTTCTATCTTCCAGTTTCAGCTTTGCCGTGCCGCATCACTAAAATTCAGTTCTGTCTGTTAGTAGCTACTTTTGCACACTAAAACGGCGCTGAAGCTCGCAAGATTTCAGTTTGCATCTCTGCTTGTTAAAAAAATTGCTGCTGGTATCATGAAGTTTCTGTCTGGAACATGAAGGACTTAACCCAAAAATGTTTTAAATGTCCCAAAAAAGGTTTAGGATTTTAACTTTCTACACCACACTGATTATTTTCCCACAGATCAGCTATGAAGCTACTGCATATAGTTAGATGACATATGAATATACTCACTGTAGTTGTTGATGTAACTGACTCTGTATGTACTTTATCAATAATAACTGTTAATATTTGTCAAATACAAATATGAAAAGTAGGATGTGTGTTTATGTTTAGCCCTGTTTACTCTGGTACCCCTAAATACAATCCAGTGCAATCAGTTACTAGAGAATATGGGATAATCAATGTTATTCATATGCTGTAGCTGTTGTGGTGAATTAGTTTGACCTATAATTGAAAGAAAATTAATTCTACTTACTTTGAAAGCCTAGTAAATACTGCAGTATATTGTTCTTGTTTGATGTGCAGTGTAAAAAAATCCCCTCCGATTTTGATAAGTTATGTTTGCTAGAACATTTTTCAATTTTGGTGTTGTAACTTTCTACAATGTCTGGCATAAAACACTTCAAAATATGATTTTGCACAAAAACTACCAATGTTTCTTGTTTGTTTATAGTGGTATTTATCATCTCATCTAACTATTTTAAAGAAAACAAATAAGCTTATCTCCCAAAGTGTCAAACTGTTTGCTTCATGCCCAGACTCTAACATTTCCAGTGAAATGGCAACTTTAATACTTAAGCAACTGTTTACACAATACAAAATTACTTGTAATCTCTCTATGCATAGATGGTGATAATACAAGATACAAATTTTTACGGACTTTACTTACCAATGGCGCGACAGTCAGTGGCTACCCCTTTTTCAGGACAGAAAAACACAAAGCTCTGTTGCTCAAAAACAGAGTAAAGGTTGAAGCAATTACACATATCTAAGAAAGAAAAATAACTGGTCATCGTCTTCTTATTGAACCTGTCTGGCACCTTAAGATCAATAATAACTCCATTCCTCTCCAGTTTTTTTTTTTTTTTTTTCCAAAATCCACTCTTTAAGGTGAGAGCCATGCCTGTTGACTTTTAGGTCAGCTGCTGCACTCTCTGTTCAGGGTCAGACATTTCTACCAGATGTACCCTCCATCATCTGCCTCGCCCTCTTCCTCTTCCTCTTCCTCTGCTTCCTCCCCGTTATCCTCTGCCTCCTTCTCCTCTTCATCTTCCCATCCGACTCCACTACCGAAGTCTCCAGAATATCCAGTTACCTCATCTGGAAGAGATTAAATAAATATTTGCATTACATTTTCTAAAAGCAAGTTTTTGTATTTTAAATGTTACTTAAAGGAACGGACTGCTGTTTATCTAAGTGACACCTCAACAATACAAAGCTGATGCCCAACCACCAAATCTTGTAAAACAGGCGACAAACTGTTTCTGTACCCTGATTCTGTGAAAGGGAGAAGCTTTTTGGGGAAGTCAGCTAAACCGAAATAGAGTTCATATCTGAATCTAGACAAGTTACAGAGGGAGGGAAACTAATTTACAGAAAAGGAGGTGAACTAAGAATTCAAAGGAACTATAAACCAAGCAGAAAACACTAATACTGATCTAAGCTAAATTAATTCAATTGCACAAAAGAGTAAACCGTAAAACGCAATACAAATGACTGAATAAATATGAATAGACACTAGTATTACAAAAATTAAATATCAAGAAACACAAAAGACAAACACACAGAGATCATGACATAACTTCTAAGAAATATTGAAAGAAAAATTAGACACAGATATGAATTGTAACGTTTGCAAATTATTGAGTACAAAGGATTTGACAATAAATCATTATATCAGTAAAACAAAAACAAAAAGAAGAAGTAATTTAGGATGAAGAGTAACAGATCAAAATAAAAGAAGTAAACCTTCCAAATTGTCAAAGCCTTACCACAGTCTGGGTTCCCATGAACTCTGGAGCCCATCATCTCTCCATGCAGGTCGACACACCAGCATTCCCCTCGGCTCTGATCACACTGCACTTTCCTGTAGTAGCCATCCTCATCACAACTGGGAATATAGGTGCCTAAAACATTACATTATTATTATTATTATCATTATTATTATCAGCTTCCAGATAAAGCATGAAAAGCATGCTGATGATCTCCACTGTCGTTAGCTCACACTGATGATTAAAGGTTCAGACATTTCCTGTGTAGTTTGGCTAAAAAATATCAGATTTTTTTTTCTCACGTAAAATATCACAGAGGGAGCAAAGGATTTCTGTTTATTCCTTTCTGTTATGCTGTTGGACGTCATCTTACACAGCAAGTCTGTATGGTTTGTGTTTCCTTATGCTATGAGAGTGGCATGTTAAACGTAAAGACAGCCTCTGTGACAGAGCTCTGTTTCTTCAGCGTCCCTCAGGACAATCTTGTCAAACTCAGAGCAAAGTTTTCTAGGTGGCACCGATCCTCCCTGACCCACAACAGCAAAAACAAGTGAAAACAGACACAGGATAAGTTGCTTTTGAAAACAAAATCTCCTGCCGTGTTATTTGCTGCAAATGCTGCAGTGTGGGGTTTCTACTGGAGTCAAGTGTCTACATTAACCTTGGTCTTTCCCAAAGCCAGCACTGCCCTCTAATCCCCACTAGCCTGATTAGGACCTAATCCTTGCTGTGTGCTTGTGATCTGTTTAATTAGCCCCCTACAGCTTGTTGTCTTTGTCTTTAGCCTCTATTTCACAATTTTACCTGGAAATCTGCAGAGAGTGTGATGGCAAACACAGCTGAATGGTGTGACTTCACACATTTGCATAGCGGTGGCATGCCCCAGAAGGGATTTCAGATGACTACCCAATGAGCTTATGTCCAAAATGTAAGCTTAGGATTTAACACACATCTCAAACTTCACAGCGTCGTGCAGAAATAATGCATTTACCGGGTTTCTTCTTGGCTGCCTGCTGCACTTGGATCCTCTCCAGCTCGGCCAGGCACGGCGGCTCTGCGAGAATCAAAACAAAAAGTGATGACAGACAAAAAACCGAAAGTGCTCTCCTCAAACTTTATCTCAATCAATGCTCTTCATAATTACACATTTTGCCTGAATCGATTTGCTTAAGAAGTCTTGTATTTCAATCCCTGCGAGTGATTGATCGAGGAGGGTTCAGTTGAAAGAACATATGGATGCGGATAGAGACGTGAGATAAGGAAACAAGGTGCACTTCTAGATAAAAGTCGAAACAAAGAGGACACTTTGTGTCAAAACCACCAAGGGGGCAAATCTTTGCAAGCATTTGAGGAAGTTTACAGAAAGAGAACATGCTTAATCCTGTTTAACTGCAGAGCTATGTCAAGCTTGCCACACACACACACACACACACACACACACACACACACACACACACACACACACACACACACACACACACACACACACACACACACACACACACACACACACACAGTGACAAGACTGTAAACTAGAGATTTTATCTTATTGTTTTCTTAAAAATTACTGTCCACAAAAAAATTTTAAATGCTGTCACAGAAGGACATTTCAACATTTTGAGATTTTCGAGTAGAAGCAAATACTGAGGCATATTCAGGCGTTCATAAATAAGCCGTATTTCTTTTCAAATTGGTTTTAAATTCTAGAGAGCTTTGTTCAACAGTCTGCAGGATTTTACTGTATTAGTAAATTCAATTTAGGTGTACAGAAAAACAC